ACCTTTTCTCTACCCTTGTGTCTGTCTGTTCCTTTTTCATCTTTGAAGCACTCTTCTGTTTCCAACCCCTCTCGACTTTTTTCGTTTTGATGTTCTCGCACATCTGTGAAGTGATTTTTTCTCACTTTAATGTTCCTCCCTTCTGTGAAGCTCGAAGTCAACTAAAGGGCTAATGATAACTATCAAAACGCCAGCCATTTGATAAAAAACATCTTTTATTGTGGAGGAAGCTAAACTGACACGACGTAATAAGCAAAGATCATGAATTGTTAATGATTATTACTATTACAGTGTCTTTTCATTCTTACATCTGAACAGGAACCGAGTACGGAGTCTTGGATATAAGCTAAATACGCATTCCAGGTTTCTTAAAGACGTTACCCAGGCTGAAGCTTTTAATACGTTACGGGAGTGGGCGTTGAGCTGATGAGATGTCATAGTAATAATAATAATTTAAGTAAATGCAATTAACTACAGACTCGCGCTCAAGCGGGATTGAGAGAATTACTGGAATTCGCATTTAAGAGGAGGAGGAAGAAGAAGAAGAAGTAGAGGAGGAAGAGGGGAGCAACGCAAGAATGACCGGCGACCAAACGAACTCTTGAAAGAAACGAAGCCGCAAAAAATTGTCTGAAGTGCTAATTAAAATAGAAAGAGACAAATAAAAATCAATTCACCAGTTTTTTGCCCTTCGGAGGCAAGTACTTCGTGCTGCGTTTATTTAGCCATATGACACACACACACATTTAATCTTTCAGTTCACATTAATTACTTTCACCTTGCAAGAAATCACATAGAAGTTTATCTGACAGTTATCAACAAGTCCTTCATCTTTCGTTGTCGAAATACGCACTTCATGAAAAGAACTTCTACCGCCAAATTGAAAAGGACTAGCTTGCCAACTATATATTTATTTATTTATTTCAAATGACAGGTGTTTTGATAGCTATCATTAGCCCTATAGTTGACTTCAGTCTTCACAGAGAGGAGGAGGAGGAACATCAAAGTGAAAAAAATGTCGAGAGGGGGGGGGGGTCGTACAGATGAGTGTTTAAAAGAGGCAAAAGAGACAGGGACAAAGGTAGAAAAAAGGTGAGATGAGTACTGTGAAAGGGGTCGAATATGGCATACAGTGTGGTGATGGTAGTTTGAAGTCAGAAGTGAACTGCCGATTGATAGACATTTTGCCGTATGATTATACGTTGCCCAGGGTGTACCACGTGTAGGTAAGTCTATCGCACATCCCTGCTTGCCAATTATAGTAAGATGTTGGTGACCAAATTAATTGTCTCAAGGTATTGGTAAAGGCGGCAACGCAGCATAACTCCCCCACTCCACCCCACCTCACCCCCCACCCCACCCCCAATACTATCAAGCCACTATTTGTTTGTTTATTTGAAGTAGCAAATAGCTGATGAATTTTGAACATACCCTATTTTAACAATCGAAGGATTGGTGATTCGAGTCGCATTCTCGATCTTATTTTATACAACTATGCGTGGAAGCATTCCTCGTGGAAATCATGAATGATAGGCTTCAATTTCCAAGTAAAAGACAAGCGACCCTCCTAATGCAAACATTCCTACAGTAAAACACTTCAATGCGTGATTCCCATTTGGCAACTTAGCCAAACATGAGTCTTCAAACAACTTGAAATTGACATCTATTGAAATGGTCACCTATGCTTCCTTAAAAGTAAAGTCTAACGAAAAGATGCGCTATCAAGAACTGAAAATTCGAAGTCAATAACAATAAATAAGCAGTATTCACAAATCCATATCTCATTTCCGAGGCGCGCAGCAGACTTACATCCACGTGGTGCACCCTAGGGAACGTACACTCATACGTCTATAAACCGGCATTTCAAACTACCATGACCCCACGGTATGTCCTATTCCACCATTTCCACAGTACGCACTTTACCTTATCTTCTTCTCTGCCTTTGTGTCTGTCTGTCTGTCTCTTTCACATCCGAGAATCGCTCTTCTGTCCCCCCCCCCCCACTCGAATAGTTGTGCCCTTGATATTCCTCCTCCTCCTCTCTGTGAAGTCCGAAGTCAACAAGAGGGCTAATGATAATTATCATAAAGCCTGTCATTTGATATAAATATTTCAAGTTCCACTTTCGCTCGGCAAACTTAACTCAAATAGCTGTTTCTCCATGTGACTCCAGTGATTAAAATAAATTCAATAAACAAAGAGAAGCGCACCTCTCCCATCATTGGGAATACCCCGCTTCTTATGATAGCCCAAGATCAATTAAAAAAGGTCAAAATAAGTAACTTTACACATGGTAGAAAGTTGAAATTACCCTGTGAACAGGCAGCCTTGACTTGACGATGGAAATAGGGTCTGCCTGAAAAACTTGCACTATTCGGCATCTCACAGGATGGTGCCTTCTTTCCACTCTGTTCAACACTCTCCGTGGGAGTGGAATTCATCATCTCCACACAGATGGAGGTGCGTTGCAGTCTGGTGCAAGTTCCATCCACCGCGGAATTTCGGACAGCTCGATGGAACGGAAACTCCATGGGAATGATCGCGTCGTCAGGAGAGTTTTGGATGTTTTCAACTCCATCTGGACAATTTTCATTCTCTCCTCCCATGGAATACGCCGATTGGGGGGAAGAAAGTGCAAAGCTAGTCAGAAGTTTGGTCATTTTGGCGTTTCGCAGGACGTATTTGGCCAGAGCTAGGGGCGTCTGGCCTTGGTTGTTATGGCAATGCCTTGGACGCGCGCCGTACGAACATAAGAGCCTCGCCATCGTATAGCTGCAACAAATTAACTGTGTCAATAAATTTCCGTTTTTCGCATTTGCAAGTAATTAATTTATAATATCAGCAAAGTGGAGGGCAGTATCTTTTTTCATAAATCCACAAAATTCCTTAATGAAATTTACCTCTAAACTCAACATCTTTCAATTAAAGTATCAATTCATTTTGAATTCATACTAAATTTTAAATTTGCCTCTATTCCCTGCATAAATTGAGATAAAAATTTCCAAATTATGTATATATTGAATTAAGTAAACTTTAAACATTCGAAGACAGCAATATAAAAATCATTTAATGAAGTTGAAGAGCACATTCAATTTGACTAAAATTGAAGGAAATAAGTAACCAATAATCCTCGGCTTAAGTGACGAAATAGATATTTCCAAATCCATAAGATTGAGTTTTGGTTACTTCGAAATCACCACTGAAAGCAAAACCCAAGAACCCGTTGCATATTTTTTGTTGAAATTCCTCCTGTAAGGCGATCTAATTAAAATTCAACATTTCGATATCTCTTTTGAGTTCTTATGAAGGACTTTCATTTACCGGGTTTGTCTTACAATGAGAAACTAACTCTCTGTGACACTACTTTCTGCGGCATATTCAGGGGGGGCGGGTGGGAAGATTGATCCTATCGTTTGCAAATGAGCATAAAAAGGTAAGTCCTTTTCAAATTAATCGAATTAACTTAATATTGTCTAACTTGTTAGTTTTCACAGCCCAATGCAAAGGTGTGTCTCCGTTAGAATCTTGCAGCTTATTCAGCTTCCTTGACCCATCTTCTGCCTGTCCATGAAATTCTCGACGTTGTTGAACCTTCTCAGCGAAGACAGAATCGTCTTCATCCTCCGACGTCGACCAACCACCAGAATGTCCATGGACCAGGGCATTGGCAGTCTGTAAAAGCACCACTGCACAACTGGTGCTGTTCCTACGCACAGCCATGTGCAGAGCTGTGACAGCACAAGATGATTCTGTCGGTTGGCGTAATGCAGCCAGGACTTGATGAGGTGGAAGGTATATGTTGGGGAAAGTAGGTAGAAGTATCCGTGTGATGTTCGCGTCGTCAAGGTCAACTGCAGTATGGAGAGCTGTCCAACCCCCCTCTCGTGTTGTTGCAAGAAGGTCACACTTTCCGGTTGATACCAGAAGTTTAACCTTGATATCAAAAATGATTGGAGCTTATTACTATCAAAATGAATATGTTTAATATTAATAAAGTATGCCAGAATACTACTAGGCCACATAATGGGTAATCGAAAATTGATACATTGCAGGTCCACTTATAATTAAATTCAAATTAACCGAAATTATTGTTTAATTTCACCCTGCATTTCCAACTCTGGAAGAAAAAGGAGCTTTTAATAGCACAATTGGCTCATCTTGATTAAAACATCCGTTAAGTAAGTGCGAGGCATTGAGAACACAAATTATCACTGCGATTCACATGATGAAACATGAAATTTTAAGGTAAAAAATTGAATGACCCATCGAATATTTCGATTCATTCCAAATTGCCTTAGAAAACAAAATATTTTGACTTGAGATCTTTACAAGTTGGTTTTGAAGTGAAGTGAATATATTGCTCTTTTTATCCTGTTTTCCAAGAAAGAAGATTCGTAGTCCACACCCATATATTAGGTTGGCAACTAAGTCATTGCCGATTTCAAATAAGAAGGCAAATTCGGAATTTTTGTTTAAAAATATAACTTTATTCAATTAGATATTGACCGTTCTTGTCGATGACCTTTTTCCATCGTTCTGGCAGAGTAAAAATTCCCCGTTCGTAAAATGTCTGGTCTTTGCTATTAAAAAACTGAATTAGGTGTGTTAAAAATTTTACCATTTAAAGAGTTTTGCATGGAACGAAACAAATGGTAATCCGAAGGCGCAAGGTCAGGGCTATATGGTGGGTGTGACAAAACATCCCAACCCAGTTCCAATAATTTTTGCCGAGTAACCAAATATGTGTGGGGGCTTGCGTTATCATGATGGAAAACAACACCCTTCCGATTTGATAATGCCGGCCGCTTATCTTCAATTGCATCCTTCAGTTTTTCGAGTTCTTCAACATACACATTTGAATTTATCGTTTGGTTCTGCGGCATGAGTTCAAAATACAAAATTCCTTTGTGATCCCACCAGACTGACAGCATAATCTTTTTTTGGTGAATCTCTGCTTTTGATACTGTTTGGGCTGGTTGATCTTGCTTCACCCATGATCTCTTGCGAGTAACATTCTTATAAACTATCCACTTTTCGTCGCCAGTAACTAGGTTCTTCAGAAATGGACCATTCTCATTGCGTTTCGGTAGCTGCGAATCACAGATGCTAATCCGTTGCGTCAAATGAATTCCTTTAACTGGTGAGGGATCCATAAATCAAGTTTCTTGACACAACCAAGGGTTTTTAATTTTTTTTCAATGCATGTATGCCACACATTGAGCTTCTCTGAAATATCTCGTGTTGTGCTGTGACGATTTGAATCGATAATGGCCTTGATATGGGTTTCATCCACTTCGACTGGGCGGCCAGATCGTTGTGAATTTTTCAGTGAAAAATCACCGGAACGAAATCTTTCAAACCAATTTCGACACTGCCTTTCTTTTAAGGCTTCATCTCCATATATGGCACATAACTTCTTTTGTGCTTACGATGCGTTCTTGCCTTTTCGGAAGTAATACAATAAAATGTGTCGGAAGTGCACGTCCTGTTTTTTCATTTTTAAATTGGGATAAAAACAAAACTAAAGAACTAAACAAAAAAAATTTGTTACTAATTAACCTAGAAGCCCATACAGTAAGAAAAAAATATAGGTTAGATGCTCTGGCCACGTTAACAAAACAAAAGTAAGTCTAGAGTGAATCCGACAACAAAAACGGCAATGACTTAGTTGCCAACCCAATATATATATATATATATTTCATCATATGTTTTAGACACTTTTAAGAAAAGTACATCCCAACTTTTTGAAACAAAATTATTTCGCAACATCTTTTGAAGGTAGCATATTGTGAATGGACAATCAGGTATATTCAACAAGAGGATCTCTTGATTTGAACACATCTTCGGAATTTATGTGAATTTACATTCATTTTGGTAGG